TAATAGATCTACCTTGGATGCAGTCTACACCCTTATTCATTTTATCACTAAGTCTTTGAACAACTCTGTTAAGGCTGTTCGGTGTTTTTTCTGGACTATTCTTCGGTATTTTACTCCATTCCTCGATCTAAGTTGTTACTAAACCCGGGATCGTTCGAATGTCCCATACAGTTATTAGCTTAACTATCCAACTATGTTACTGATACAGCACAAACCACCAGATTAGGGAGGGCTTCATACAAAACCTAGTCAACAACTCCGAAGTTCTTCAATGAGCTGTCCTATCCCATACCTATTTTCCACTTATACTGGTGATGTACCCCGTGTTTCTCCCGCACAAATTTCGAAATATGCAAAGTACGTCGTGCTGTTCAAACCCATTTTATCTTACTCTGATCAAAGCGCCTTCACCTACAATCTTGAACAAATTCAGTCATTCTCTTTAGCGGAGCTGACCCTAAAGCCCAGAAATGTTTTGAGTGTTTGTATAGTTTTACCCCGCTCTCCATATCCGTTAGACCCCACAGTGATTAATAATAATCTCTCATCTAGGGTGAACTGTGTCAAATATCTTGGTGTAACCATAGATAGCAATTTCCATTGATCAACCCACATCCACAACTGCACTGGTAAACTGCGGCGTCTGTCATTTCAAACACAAAAGCTCAGGCAGTTTCGCGCATCCCAGTCAGTTGTTTCTGCCTTTGTTTATCAGTGTGTTTTCCTCATCTTACTCTACTTTTCACCAGCTATTTTTCCTGACTTACTCAAACAGGATTTCAAAGTCTTACGCCGCAGTCTAACTATTATTAGTCGCTTCTCTTCTATTCCTGTGAATGGGTTAGTTTTAAAGCTTTCAGAGTATCATGTATCTTCCTGTGTGAAATTTACTGATAGGCTTCTCACAGTTCCTGCCCAATCATTGCACGCAGATCTGACAAGTTGTCGTTCCCATCATTCAACACGCTCCCAATTCCGTCAAATTTCATCTCGAATTAACGCTTACCGCAATTCACCCATACCGTATCTTGCTCGTCTACTCATGAAAAAAGAGCGGACAATAAGTGTACTTTGTCTTAACCTTGGATTATGAAATGTCCCCATGTCTGCAAAATCTTCCCGTTGATTATGTACATTGTGACGATTAGCGTGTATGATTTTTTAACCCAAATGTGAGCTCCGGTGCTTGCAAAAGTTATACACAATACACAATCAACTTGGAGTATTCGCCTAGTCGAGGTGGGGTTGATAGGTCATATACAGATTGGGGCCAGTTAGACTAAGGGTTGAATTGTTCAGCCCATCGATCAAGACAGCGTTGCGGACTATGAATCAGTGTACCATCGCATTCTTTAATAATCTCACTTACATGTTTTTTCCTGGGACTTGTATTCCTAATTAAATGAAAGGGAGTGCGACTATTACCAATAGCCGCAGCCTTCTCCATCTCTTCACATTATTTCACCCACGACTTCTCACGGTCATTCCTCAGACTCT